GCCGACAAACGCCGGTCGCTCGGTAGGTATAGTTAGCTTGCAGACTATAGGCCACGGAAGTTTTTTTTTTGTTTTGTCTCGTCAGCAAACTGCATAACGAAGTCCTTACTTCGATATAGTTAATTAGCCGGTAGAGAATGTGACTGAGTCCAGTTCGGAAACGACAATGACAAATCAAAATTACATTCGGGAAGGAATTTGGAGCAGTTTAAATAAGGTTAATATTTATGTAAGTTTTGAGGTTTTCACGGCGATGACTATGAAGAAAGTCGTCTTTTGGGATCTGGCGCCGTATATTCTTGCTTTTAACTGACGTTTCGGAGCTACTGCTCTCTGTATTCGCAACGCAATTCAACTGCCCTGAAGATGGAGGCGATATGTCCCTCCGAAACGTCGGCAAAAACCAAGAATACACGGTGCCAGATCCCAGAAGACGACTTTCTTCAAGGTTAATATTTGCTGTCAATTGCCACTAGTAAAGACAACACCACACGCTGTGGTGGAAACACGCAAACCAGGGGCACGTGACAGTCATAACTGAAAAGTAGGCTACGAACGCGAGGGGCACGCTGCCAAAACAAAACACCCTGGACAGATATACATTTATGAAAAAGGACGACACTCTGTATGAGGTGAAATAACGTGGGTATAATAGAAACATAAAGGATTTTATCTGGTTTTGCCTTGATAAGAGAACTACAGCGTGTGATTTTAACACGGACTAAGACAGTGTAGCAGTTTTAACATAATTCAATAAAATATTTGTAACATATCAAGACACCTGAATATGGCGGTTTGGGGCCGAAACATATAGTGTCAAGGTGTAAATTAAAATTAAGCAGTGAATAAAAAAATGTTGCAATACTGACGGACGATAAGTGATGGGCGTTAAATCCTATATGTATTTCTCTTCTCCCCATTCGTGCTACATGCCCTGCCCACCTCATCTTCCTTGACTTGATCATTCTGATCATACTTGTAGAAGAGTACAAGTTATGAAGCTCCTAATATCCCATTACACAGACTTCAAGAATATTTTTCTTGAAGAAAGCAGTCTTCTGGGANGTTCTCACGGTCTCTTCGCTTGCAGATTTCTTATATTTTTTCTTCTACCCTGAAGATGGAGGCGATACGTTCCTCCGAAACGTCGGTTAACACCACATATACACGGTGCCAAATCCCAGAAGACTGCTTTCTTCATAGTCACCGCCGTGAAACCTCAAATCTTACATAATATTTTTCTTGTCTGCCTTAAAATGTTTACCGCCATGTTGGAGACATTAACGATATAAATATCGTGTCACGTACCAATTTTTAAAAGTTTTTTGGTTCTATGGTAATATTGGTGAAGGTAGAAAAGGGCTTCTTTTGAGTTTCATATAAAGAAAATGTTGTTTGGTAATGACACGAGTCAAAATTAAATTCGACCAAATTGTTTCAGGCTTCCCAGTTAAAAAATTAATTGGTAGTGCGTTGCATAGATTCGGGGATCAGACATACGGACGGAAGTCATATATTCCTAGAACCTAAGGGCGTTTTTATTTCTTATATTGTGTTGTTTCATCTTACTCCCTCAATTGCAGAGGGCAACTGGCTTTAATACTTCCAGTGTAACACAGTGGATTAACTTCCAGAGAATAATATACGTATATTTATGTAACATCACGTATTTGTTGACGTTTTACGATGACTTTTTTTTAACACCGTTGACCAACATTTATTTTCAAAACGTTTAGTTTCAAAATGTCATTCTTGTTTTAGCAGTTTTAATAGATTTACATGTCGCTACAAGCTGTGCATTTATTTATGGGGGGAAATATTGAAAATGTGCAGAAAGAGAATTGGGTGGAATTTTCATATAACCGGGGCAAATGAAATTTTGCTCACACTGCACAACAAAATAAAATCCATGAATACATGTTACTCGTAATTTCAAAATAATTATTAAAACAAATTTTCGTTATTTTTCGCTGTTTTAGAAATCATTATGAAAACATTCTCGAAGCTTCTTACATGACAACTAAAATAGACCGATGGAGGGAGGGAGGGAGGGAAGATATCAAATTTAATGCTGTGGCGTAGAGGGGGGTATGATTATTAGAATGGATCTTAGCAAACTGCGTATCAGAGTGTGGACCGAATGATAATGGCTGACGTCCTCAACCAATTCAGTTATGTCAACAGGTATTGGAGTTCTTACTTACTTACTCATGGAGTTGAGCCCTTCTGGAGGAGACGCCAATTCTGCAGCTACTCAAGAATTTCCCATCATTTTATGGAACCCGAAAGTTCATCACCTTGTTCACAAGAGCCCTCCACTGGTCTATATCCTGAGCCAGATCTATCCAATGCATACCATCCCATCCTATCTCTCTAAGATCCATTCTAATATTGTTCACCCACCTACGCCTTGGTTTTCCCTGTAGTCTCTTTCCTTCTGGCTTTCCCATCAATATCCTATATGCATTCCTCTTCTCTCCCATTCTTGCTACATGCCCTGCCCATCTCACCCTCCTTGACTTGATCATTCTAATTATTCTTCGAGAAGAGTACAAGTTATGAAGATCCACATTATGCAGTTTTCTCCACTCTCCCGTCACTTCATCCCTCTTCGGTCCAAATATTCTCCTCAACACCATGTTCTCAAGCACCCTCAGTCTATGTTCCTCCCTTAATGTCAGAGACCAAGTTTCACACCCATACAGAACCACAGGGAAAATTATAGTTTTGTATATTCTAATTTTTATGTTTTTGGACAACAGACGAGAAGACAAAAGGTTCTGGACTGAACGGTAGCAAGCATTACCCGAGTTCAATTGCCTCTTAATTTCCTCCTGAAGTTCTAGGTTTTGTAAAAATTTGCGAATTTATTGACAGTTCTGAGAGTTAAAAATTCTTAAAGAACAAGTACCATGTGTTTCCTGTGTAGTTTGAGCAACGGTGCTGGTTCCACCATTTCAGTAACTGACAAGACCTGCATTTAATTTCAGTGTTCTCATTGAACAAGAATCTGAGGGTTAGCACGAACCCCCTCTAACAGGGCACCATTTTCCGATTCTATTGAAATTGAAACGAGATCTGTTGATTCAGAATTATTAGCTTATTAACATTGTGAACATATGAATGTCAGTTTACCAAAAATTTACATATTATAAACTAGGATAAAGACCTCCTCTGTGCTCAGCACAACGAATCCCCACGGCCGTTTATCTCGGTTCCGTAGACCGGAGCCGCTGTTTCCTTTAATAGCTCCTCAATTATCATCACGAGGCTAAGTGGACCCTGTTCCAGACTCACTACTTGTCAGAAAATCTGGTAGCGCCGAGAATCGAAACCAGGGCCCCTAGATCTGTAGCCAGGAACCCTGACCACTAGACCACAATGGCGGTCCCACAAGACTCCGACAGCAGACAAATCTCGAATATCATATATCCTGCGATATATCGGATGTCGCTTTCGATATATTATATTAATATCGTATGTCTGGGTTTATTGTAAGTCGAGATATCTTAAGTAGGAGCGGCCTTCGCTTGGCACGCGTAAACAAACACGTCCTTTAAACAAAGTCGCATATGTTGTTGCGAGAACTTTGTTAAGTTGCTTGTACTACAGGAGGATATGTTTCTTGGGCATGACAACGCGCGTCCTTTCCCAGCGGAACGGCGCCGTGACTGGGAGTTCAGAATGCAAGACGGAAGAACACCGAAGCACGGAGTTCCACCACAAACTGCGTTAGACAAGATATACATTTTATTAAGAAGCCAAGAAACTTCTCGGTAGAAACATGTAGGATATTTTTTTTTGCAAAACAGGGTAGAATTTTGTGGTTTCGTGGTGTCGAATCCCACTCGAGGCATGGATATCTGTCTTCATTTATTCCGTCTTTGTGTTGTCCTGTGTAGGTACCGGCGTTGACTCAGGCTGATCCTCCGTGTAGGGAGTCTTACCGACTGTCTAATATTAGGAAACTGAGGCGAAACGAAGCGTTTCACGGATGCCCTATGTTTCAAGTGGGAGCAGCAGGAAAAGGAAAAGAAGAAGGTGATCCCTGTAACAGGCCGTGAAGGCCCTTAGGGTTGTCAGATGTTGAGGCTCCCACATTATCTAGACAATCGGATCACAGATGGCGGTAAGGTTGTCAACCTTACGCGCCGGCCGCCCTTTACCCCCAGAAAAGTTCCTGGTACTCATTTCTGCTAGAGGCTGTTTCGACCCTAGGGCCATAATGCGGCTGGAAGGATTAGGTCAATTGAAAAAATATATATAATCGGGATTTGATTCCGTGACTTTCCGGCTTGTAGCATAGTGCCTCAACCAACTGCGCTACCGTGTATTTTTTTCTATCAAATTTCACCAATGCTACTTAGGTAAATCTAATACCAGATTATTCGGAATTGCTACAGGTAAAGGGTGAGGAAGAAAAGGGGACAAGGAAAGCAATTCATCACAAAATACGTGTTCGTATCACAAGGAAGAAGGGAAGGAAGAAAGGAGAAAGGTAAAGAAGGAAAGCATACTCATGGTACTCGCGATTACTGAATATTTGGATTTTATCCACTGTTTGATGTTGTAAAAAAACAAAGTGTTTTGAAAACTAGAGCTGTTTCCATCCTCAGTTTCCGAAATGTTGTGTTCTTTAGAATATTAGACGACCAGAAAGTCGAAAACCTCAGCAATTTCATCGTCAGAGCTCGTTCGAATTGAAATGTTCATGTTACGTAAATAAACCGTAACAGTATGTAACGGCATATGCAAAGGTAAACTTAAAAATTTTCCCTGTGTTCAACGAATTAAGCACTACGCTATGTAGACGTATGGGGGGAGTGGATGTATAGTACCACATTTTCTTGACCTCGGCACTGGATGGAGGTGAGTGGTCGGCTTCAAACTCCGGCCGCTTTACCTCCGGGGCAAGAGCATATGTGATGTACATATTTGAATACTCCGGAACTCAGAAATTTTGTTGCTACTTAAATTTTATCGAAATCTGAACAACTTACCTGAAATTCCATCATATGTCCACCACTCCTCCCAACTGGCACGGATTTCTGAAACGAAACAGAATGTCCTAATTATTAAGAGGTCAGATTCAGTGATGAATATAAGGATACAGATGAATGCAATCTTTTCTTTTAATTCGCTTAGTGGGTGGTGTAGTCCAGTTGGGTTCACTCGGCACGGCAGCCACTGATTGGCCTATTGTAGCCTGCCCCGGGTGATTATGATGATGGAGAATTTGGTGGAATGAAGATTGGCAGGAGAAACCGAAGTACTCGGAGAAAACCCGCCCCAGCGCCACTTTGTCCACCACAAATCTTACTTGATCAGACCCGGGATCGAACTCGTGCCGCCGCGGTGGGAAGCCGGCGACTAACCGCTTGAGCTATGGCTCGGCCTTCCAATGTTATCTTAGATCAATATCCAGCTGTATCGACTGGACCAAACTGTGTTGGTTCCGCCTGAAGACCGAGACAGAATCCAGCCTCCGAAACGCTGTATTTTAAAATATCAACAGGACTGTGTTTTAGACAAAAACAGGACGATGGATAATGTCCAGAAATATTTTTATTAGTGTACTATCGTCAGAAACTTTTAGGTGAAATAAATGCTTTTTGAGGGTCGTTTAGGTAGATGTTCAAGACGGTACACCGTTTAAGGCCTTTTATAAATCGACAATGGGCACTGGATAGAATACAAGGAGTATAGGAGAATATACCCATTTTGAAACCTCTTTAAATAACATTTGGGTAGGAAAGAAAAGGTATCCAAAAGTGAAATAAGTTACTTTACATAACATCTTTTAAACTCAAACATGATTCTAAGGTAAAGGAAGACAGTCTTCTGGGATTTGGCACCGTGTATATGTGGTGTTAACCGACGTTTCGGAGGAACGTATCGCCTCCATCTTCAGGATCTTTTCGCTAGCGGATTTCTTATATTTGTTCCTTCTATCCTGAAGATGGAGGCGATACGTTCCTCCGAAACGTCGGTTAACACCACATATACACGGTGCCAAATCCCAGAATACTGCTTTCTTCATAGTCACCGCCGTGAAAACCTCAAACATGATTCTAAGGTGATAATAGGGCCCTAAATGAAATAAAGATAAACGTGGGCTCTGTACACTCTCAGTGAGACTGCTCCTTTCTCTGTAAGCTTCATGAATGTTCCGCAGTTTGTTAATGTTGTTTTTTTACCTTCTTTTACATCAGACTGAATCTCCACTAAACAATACAGCACACAGATTCATTCCATCTCATTTCCTACACAGAATTGTCTTCCCAGCTTTTAATATCCGAAATTTATTCTCCATGTACTCCATCGTTCTCCCCTCCCCTTTCTCTGTCTCTTTGAATTTCATTTTTTTTTCTATCTCTTTCAGCTGGACTCATAAAACTGCTAAAATATATAACATGAAAAAGCCAAGCTTATTGAGAAGCAACCCAAGTTTCCTTGTAGATATATTGCCATGATATTCTCTCTGAGTTTAGGGAAACTGAAGACGCTGTAGCTATAGCTATGGGACAAACAAAGATGCTTCTCCACATAACAGCCATAATAATTTATTTATTACACTTACATAATGTACTCATATGTGCTAACGCACAGCTCAGTCTGTTTAAATTACGTCTACTGTTTGCTGAAAATGTATTTATTTAAATGTATCCTTATGCTATTAGCCTTAATATTTGTTTCTTGCAGATACAAATCTACTGTTTCGAAACTAGTTATATTAGAATTGTCACACTGCAGGACCCGGGTTCTGTCCCTGGTCTGGTCTAGTGGTTTTTGTGGTGGACAAAGTGGGGCTGGGCCGGGTTTTCTCCGAGAATTTCGGTGTCCCCTGCCAATCTTCATTCCACCAAATCCTCCATCATCATAATCATCAAGAGCAGGCTACAATAGGCCAATCAGTGGTCACCGTGCTGAGTTGACCCAGTTGGATTCCAACCACCCAAACGAATTTTTTAATTTTATCACACTGCATATAATTATAATTTATTTTTATTTATTTTAAATATCTACCACCTTGCTAAATATATGTAACGAAACTTGCATATCTCAGTAATTTCCAGATTTCTAATTTTATTGATTTATTATTTTTCAGAACCCTTTAAATATGATATAATTTTAACATGCATGTTAAGGGTTATAACTGATCAGAATGTAAAGTACAATCATCCCTGTAACAGGTCGTGGAGACCCATAGGTTTGTGAGCTGTTGAGGCTCCAACATGTTCTAGACAATCGGTTCACAGATGGTGGTGAGGTTGTCAGCCTTACTCCCGGACGCCTTTTACCCCCCAGGAAGATTTCTGGTACTCATTTCTGTTAGTCTTAGTCGACCCCAGGGCCATATTGTGGCTGGAAGGGTTAGGTGAATTGAAAAAAATCGCCTCATAAGGAATCGAACCCTCAACCTTCCGGCTTGTAGCATAGTGCCTCAACCAACTACGCTACCTCGTGCCACCTGAGCAGAATCTACCAAAATTAATTTCGTGGAACAAATTGTATTGTGGAACACAATGCCAATTTTAATCGAATTCTTTCGATATGATTTCGGAGATTAAGCACGCATACAGATCAAGAGACAACCCACAGACAATTTATTCTTTCGCATAGAACAACAGCAAAATAAGTTGCATATTTTAAAGTTCCTATTATAAACAGTCTAAATCTCTGCTTTTGTCATTTCAGAAGATCTCATGCAGCTCCCAGGAAGAATGAATACAGACGTCGAGGATCTGATGTAAATTCACCGTTTTAGTTGGTGAGTACAAACGAATTTTGGTTATTCTTAGTAACTGAGCATTACTAATTCAACTCTTTTCTCTTCTTTATTTAGGCCATCTTTATGAATTGAGGACCAGCAGCGTAATTCTTATGTGTTCCTCTTCTCTTCATTCATTCATTATTGGAGGGCATGGGTTTCTCCATGCAACGCGACCAGTTGTTGATCTATTGTACGTCCCCCTTTGATATTCTACCAGTCGCCATAACTTTCCGGTACTGGTGCTCGCTATCAGCCCCGTTCAGCCATTGAGTTCGGCCCCTCTACTGGCAGTGCTACCGGATACTTCCCCATCTACCGGAGACATTGAAAACTACTTGGGCGGGAAATTTTTTCCTAATTTTGTTCAGAGGCCTCCTAGAGACACGAGGATCTTTTACGTGCCGTAAATCTACGACACGGGACCCACAGCTTAAAGTCCCTCCCGAAGGGCTTGTTCCCTGAATTTTTCCGCCCTTAAAAATTCCACTACCTCCGCGTACCTTGACTCATGAGGTGGGAATGTTACCCCTAGACTATGGAGGTCGCTCTCCTCTTCTCTTATGTCCGAATTAATATTTCTAGAAATTATTTTTCATGCATAATTTCCCCCTCGTAGAAAAGAATCAGTATCGATAAGGCTCTATCATAGTTCGTGCTTGATATATATATAAAACGGAAGTGGTTTCCAGGATTATTAACTTTCACAAGATTGCTGTGGGGCGAGATAAAATGGTCCATACAATGAGAAACTTTTACGAGGAGAATCATGACTGTAAAAAGACGTGTCGAAACTTGGAACTAATCTTCTTCTTCTTTTTCCTTCCCACCCATCCCCCCTTCTACTCGTACCGCGAAATTGTCAGTGGATGTCATTTCTTTTAAACAGCTGCTGTCGTTGAATTATGACTACAATGGGTTATCTGGAAGTTTGGTGAAACTTCAGCGTATTTCCCGCCGAACCGACGATGCTATGTGTTGAAAATATACGAAAGTTTCCAGAAAGAAATTCAAATTGAGTGTAATGGGAGACTGAAAAGAACGGTCTTCGTTGAAAGCAATAGCTCTTTTTTTTCATATATATTATACTGTTTAGTACAATTCATTGTTCGTTATATGAATATATAAGGAAATATTACATAAATTATAGATAGAAGGTAACTGTTTCAATTTTGTGGGGCTTGGTTTTTGTAATTCGTCGAGACAATGTTTTACGCTAAAATGCTTGTTACAAGACACGATATAATGCGTTAATCTATCAAATCGAACTCTTGTTGTGAATAATTAGTTTAGAATCCTTATACGCTGCTACTGCCCGTGACCTCAATGCATTTCCGAAGGCTGCTTCTCAGACACGTCTAGACACAGAGAGGCTGTAGTAATAATTAAGGGATACCAAGCCCTTCATGGTGCCGGTCACGGTAGCCGAGTGGTCTGAGGCATCCACTGTCTTCGCTCGCTTGGAAGCCGGGATCGTGGGTTCGGATCTGTTTCGTGTGAGGTACGAACTGAATTCTTATACACTGCCGGTAACGGTAGCCGCGCGGTCTGAGGCATGTACTCTCTTCGCTCGCTTGGAAACGGGGATCGTGGGTTCGGATCTGTTTCCTGTGAGATACGAACTGAATTCTTATATATTATTCTTATACACTGCCGGTCACAGCAGCCGAGCGGTCTGAGGCATGTACTGTCTTCGCTCGCTCAGAAGCCGGGATAGTGGGTTCGAGTCCCATATAAGGCATGGATGTTTTGTGTGTATATGTGTTTATTCTGTGTTTATGTTGCCCTGAGTTTAGGTAGAGGCCTTGCAACGAGCTGATCACTCGTCCATGGAGTTCTACTGTTTGTAAAATGATCATGAAACTGAAAAATCAGAGGCCAGGGCCCAAGGGGGCGACTAGCCTTACAAATGTAGTCTCGCCAGCAGATCATGAAAGTCAAATAATTGGAGCAGACTGTGAGATAGCTCAGTCGGATTACGGGCTGATTGTTCCGGGTTCGATTATCGGGAGTGTAAGATTTGTTCTCTTCTCCACAGCATCCACACCGGTTCTGGGGTACACTCAGTCATATCTAATGGGCACCAAAGCCTTTTTCCCCACCTCCATTTAGTGCCAATGTCATGAAAGACGAAGCCAAAACTCCACTCCCGCAATGTCTTTGTGACCCAGTGCTTAACTAATTAAACACAGTAGGAAAGGTCACTGTATCGGTCGCTGCAAGCAAGAAAGTGTATATGTACACGTGTCCTATTCCGAACGGTTTCCGAGATAGAGCTATTTCACTGCACTGTACACGGTACACTGTACAGACGAGCAACACGCCATGTCCTCACACGAGTTGGGCCGAGATAGAGCTATTTTACTGCACAGTACACTGTACACTGTACAGACTAGCAGCACACCATGTCCTCACACGAGTTGCAAAGTACATTGATGTTGACGGAGTTTTCGGAAATGTATTGCACTAGGTAAAGTGTACCCAACCTTGACACTTGAATAGTAAATACATATATTACCGTGTCTACTCAGCCTCGTGAGGATAATGGAGGAGCTAATTGAATTGGACGATAGCGGCTCCGGTCTAGAAAACCGAAATTAACTGCCATGGGGATTCGTTGAGCTGACCATGCGACACCCTCTATCCGATAAAGTTGGTACTAACTTCGCCGACAAGTGGTGGTCGCTCGGTCGGGTTAGTTGGCTTGCGAACTAAAACCACGGTGTTCTTTTATTAGATACAGTACGTAATAGAAGTAATTAAACACTTCTCCTGCGAAGTAAAGTCGGCCGACGCGTGAGGCTGAGAACATTAGCGCCATCTCTGAGCCGATTGTCTAGATAATGTGGGACCCTCAACGTTTCACAACCCAATGGGCCTTCACAGCCTGGTACAGGGATAGCTTTACTTTTTTACAGTACGTAATATCCAATTATGAAATTCCCGTCTAAAATCACTCAAACACGGGTTAATAATAACCAACTAACAAAAAAATATTTAATGGGGCGTTAAATTTCATTTGTGGCCACAAATAACTTTCTGAGTTAATTCAATTCAGATAACAGCATTTTGATGTCTTCTGATGAAAATTTTCTGTGAATACCCTGTTTATTCCTTTTGAAATCTCGTCTATCATATACTTTTCGTTAATCAGCTGACAATATCAGGTGCACATGTACGTAACAAAAGTCTTCATTATATTATTATCTTCTGATATGGTTAAGTATAGTCCCCCGTAATGAAGACTAAGAAGAGATGTTTTATGGTCCAGCATTCGGCAATGAAATGACGTGAACATTGGCGCCAGACCTGCCAGCAGAACTTTGAACGGTCCAATAAGAGCCGTCAGACTTTGTCTGAAAACGTAGAAGCATCGCCCTTTCCTGGCTGTTTTAAAGCTTTGCTTTTACTTTCTTCGAGGGTGTAAAGTTGATATAGGGCCGTCTGAATATTATGTTGCCAGCTTTACTGCACATGGCATGGCGCACCGTAAATTTTCACGCTTTTGTACATTTCAGTCCTGTTTCATCGTCTCATATTTTACTGACGTCAGAACGCGAATGAAGCCATCATAGACAAACGGACTGTATTGTAAGAAATCTTTTGATCCAATGGGCTGAAACTCTCATGGAGTTCCTTAACGGAAGTCAACGTCGGGCGAGACTGGCTACTAATACGGATTAGGAATGGATCAGTTATCTTCTATTTCATTTCAGTCTTCAGGCATTCACTCAGAGCGAACTAAACACATCTTGAATATGTCACTTGTTACACACGGGGTTTGGAGAAGCAATTAAAATTTTTGGACTTTTTACTACAGCGTATGATTACACTTTACTTTCCACTATTACACCCACACAACCCACTGGTATCAGGAGTGGCAACGTCACTGTCGTTGCTTGGTAGCGGTTTCCATCGGGGGTAGCATAGTTGGTCGAGGCACTATGCTACAAGCCGGAAGGTCGAGGTTTCGATTCCCGATAATATTGTTTTTTTTAAGTAACCTAATCCTTTCAGCCGCACTGTAGCCATGGGTTGACTCAGTCTCTAACAGTCAAAGAGTACCGAGAATGTTCTAAGGGCTACTGGCGCGTAAGGCTGACATTTTCACCTCCATTATCTAGAAAATGTGGGAGCCTGGACGTCTCACAACCCTACGGGCCTCCACGGCCTCTCACAGGGATAGCATTACCTTTAACTTATATCAATTTCAGAGTTTCAGAGTCATCTACTAGTAATAAGAATATACTCCCTTTCTGAACCATAAAACACGTCACTCAAATTTCTACCGGGTGTCAGAGATGAACAGAAGACAAATCCATCCTTATATGGGATACAGGCCTGTTCAGTGGGGATTCAGACAACTAAACTGAACATACTTTAACTTGCTTCATGCCACGGACAAGGAATAGATAAAGCGTAAGTAGCTCTATTGGATGTGTACAGGAGCTTCTGGCCAGGTCGCTAGAAGCCAGTTTCAGAGGGTTACAGGTATTGTCGTAAGCATAATGGACCAATTAGCTATGAGTGCTGGGTCTTGTAAGCATCTGTGGGGAGTTCTGGCGTGCACTGTGTGCGGCGCGTCTGAACCTGCTCGGGGACGGGGCCGGTCTCCTGGTATCCAGTGGGGAATAACAAACTCATGATATCAGTGACAGAAATGGACCTCTTGCTAATGTTTCTGTGATTTTTTTATCAAAGAGCATAAATTTAACGCTCAATTCATAGGTCGTGATCTATTATGTAGGCTGTCCTAGGTTAATATTCTTGGAGGTCGCTGTATCGGTCATTCTAAGTAAGAAAGTGTATATGTACATGTGTCTTATTCCGAACGGTTTCCGAGATAGAGCTATTTCACTGCACAGTTCACTGTACACTGTCCAGACGAGCAGCAAGCCATGTCCTCACACGAGTTGCACCCAGGTAGAGCTGTTTCACTTTCCAGTTCACTTTACACTGTACAGACGAGCAGCACGCCATGTCCTCACACGAGTTACACC